TGGGCTGCTATCTGAAAGGTCCTAAGTTGGAAACCACTAGGAGAAAGATGGGGCTGTCTCCTCCCATCAACAGTTACAGTCTCAGCAACCCCCAGGGGCAGTTCTCCCCTGTCCTGCGGGGTCACTATGAGTCAGCATCGATTCAGTAGCAGTGAGGAGTCCTTACTAATTTAACACGCCAAGAGTAATAATGTACGTGGTGTGCAGTACAACGAAGGCGTAAGCTTCAATATCTCATTGTCCTACGGATTCCAGTGTAGTGACCCTAAAGGAGAGAACAGAGCTACTCCATGGGGTTGCAAAGGCTATATATCAGCGGTTCTCAACCTGTGGGTCACGACGCCTTTGGGGGTCAAATGACCCTTACACAGGGGTCATCCGAATCATAACACTAGCAAAATGACATTTAAGAAGTAGCAACAAAAGTAATTTTATGGTGGGGTGGGGTCACCACAACATAAGGAACTGTATTAAAGGGTTGCAGCATTAGGAAGGTTGAGAACCATGGCTATACATTTTTATGGAGACTGATTTCTACATCTTTCTCTCATGGAGCCGCTGGTGGGGAAAAATCACCACCCTTTCCATTAGCAGCTGCATGCTTCACTACTACACCTCCGGTGCCCTTTTAAATGACACATCCTTTTCATCAGGATTAGGGAGGGGGTGGGGCATCAGTGGGGCATCAATGGGGCAGCTCGAGTTATCTCCAAAGAAACAGATTGTCATGGCCAGTGTGTTTTCCCCGTTGTCCTCCCAAATTGGACTGTCTGTCCAAATACACTGAAAGACAGTGTGCTTCCACTTACACATCCTCGAGAGGTCAAGGACGTAGGAGTCATCTGCCAAACGTGCCCAGTGCTCACCTACCGCCCAGCAGCCAGAAGTGCCTCTGAGCTTCTTCAATTGGCCAGACCCCTTTTTTGTAAAGCTTATGCGTTTTTCAATTTTTCATTCTCAGGAAAGCAAAGTGTACCTGGTACAAAATCCACTCCCTGGGGTCTTTTCCTCAAGTTCTGAGGAACTTGGCTATTGCCCCCACCAAGACATTTGGTGTACCATCTTTTCAGAACAAAGACTCAAAGGCCAATGGGGATAAGGCTTTTAACGTCGTTGGTTCAATGCCCATTTCCTGTGTTTTCCATGATGTCTCAGGCAAAATGGAAAGAACCAATCTCACGGGGTGTCAGGAGAGGGGGGCTGGTAGTGGTCCTGTGTCCTCCGAAATCTACCATTTTGTCTCTTTGGGGACATTGCATCCTGACTTCTTCTGTTGGAACTAAGTGTGACAGCTAATCTGTAGGATCCATTGTTTGCTCAAACAGAGTCAACGTGGTTTTCCACAACAAGCCTATGACTTCGATGGCCAATCTCCTCATCTTGGACTTATTTTCGCGGCCCCTCAAGGAGAGCATTCAGAAATGGATCTTTTTGATTTAAGGCAAGGCCTACGGACTCTGATGACTCAAGTGTATCAAAAAAGTCAAACAATGAATGACATAAAATATTTATTTTGAGAGACGCTTGTTTCTCCGTCCAGAGAGTATGCCCTTGCTTCAACAGTCAGTTGTGGTCAAAATCTGGGTGTTGTGTGGGAAGGGTAGAGGTAGGGGAAAGAGAAGTAGGTTGGGTCACATAGATTTTACAGAGAGTATAGTTTAAGACTTTGACATTGTGACTTTTCCCATGATATATCAATTTATAATGTATATCATAAATTTGAAACGTTGTGATCTATAAAGAAAAATTCCCCAAATGACCTGATACATGAAGATGTAATGTATCTGATTAAACATAATCAATTGATACTTTGGGGAGCAGCTCCTTCGTAATCTATAAAAATAGCACGGCTACTGAGGTCGTCTAACTTCAGGAAGGGGGAAGAAAATCAAGATCAAATCCAGCCCAAGCGGATTACTACGAGGTGGAGGTCAGGCATAGTGCAGGCTTCCTAACCAGCTATGCTTCCCACAGCTCCCTCTACTTCTCTGCTGGCTTCAGTAATGCCCCATGATGGCCTCGCAGATCACACTAAGCACACTGGGAAGGCGTTTATAATGGGAAATAACAGGTTCCAATTCAGGATCAGGAGCAACTTGGAAGTAACAAGAATGACTCAGGAGACAGTTCTTCCATCAAGGCAGCTTCTTGTAAGTCAACCCTCAGGCAGGTGTCTCAGCCCCAGCCCTTCTCCTTCTCTGTTTGAGCAAGTTCCAAAGCTTTTCAGTTCCTCTGACACGTGCCTGGAGGCGCGCGGCTCAGGCAGGAACCTCCTGTCTGAAGGCGCTCAGCTCTCTCCCTTAGTCTGGGACCCTCGGCCGCTGGTCCTGGGCTGGTCTCAGGCAGTGCTGTCTTCAGAGTCACACCTGAGACTCACGGGTCTAGGAGGTTCTCTTCGTAGGGACCATATCAAAAGGATGTAATTGACGCCTGGCTCTTACTCTTGATGGGACTGAGGTTCCCCTCCAGCCTCACAGATTAATTCTCTTTAAGCCCAGTGACACGGCAAGGCTGACTGACCCCCAAGAAAGGCTCCACAGAACTGGTCGGCATTGTTCTTCTACAAGGGGTCCATGAACTTTGCGCACAGAGCGGAACTCTTTACCCTCCTCCGTGACTCAGTATTTGCAGGTTATCTGGTACCACAGTGTCCACGCTGACTCATGGTGAGCCTGTGTGCAACCGAAGGAAACAGCGCCCGCTTCTCGCTCCTGTTGTGTGTTTAAGCCCATCCTTGCAGCCACTGGGCTGGCTCAGCTCATGAAGAGTCTCCCTCTTTGCCATCGTGAAAAGGCACAGCCTCAATTATTCTGTGGGATTTACAAATCCCTAGCTAGAAGAGTCATACGGAAGTCATTCACCGCACTGCAGTATCTCTGGGAAAGGATAGTCCCCTAAACAGGACCAAGTGAAGCAAACTCTTTTCTTCGGGACTAAGCTCTGCAGATGTCAAGGGCCCTGGAACGCAGCCTTGTCTCTGCAGCCGCTGTGATATCTACCATCCACTCCGACCCACTTTGTCTCGCTTCCATGTTGTAAATACACTGGTCCCTGAGCTGGTCTGGCCATGTCTCTCCTTTCCAAGTCTAAGTTTCTTAGGGAAATCATGTATTTACTTCTGTGTGTGGCTACAAGCTGCATGGCTGAATGAATGGAGTTTGTAATTCGGGGATCCTTCTATTTTAAATGTTTCCAAATAACTGAATCCGACCCAGTAAAGCAGGCTCTCAAAGGCATTGGTACATGCTAGCATGTTTTCTCAAAAACAAGTGGTCTGAGTAAGACAGCCTCCAAAACAGGGAGAAGCGTTTCCCGTGCCTCTTTCTGTCTCAATCCACCTCATGATTATGCTTCCAAAGATACAAATGACCACGTTAGAGTGTGGGAGGAGTTTTGTGTCAGCTCCGATCTTAGGCGATTCAGGTGCCACACAGGATCAGACAAGGCAAAATGCTTGTGAAGGATAAGGGGGTGGGGGGGGGGGGAAGCAGGAGCAGGTAGAGAGACTGTGCAGACCACCATGTCGGTCTGACATCTGTGAAATGTGAGGGGGAAAGACGGATGTCAGGAGAGGGCTCAGATTTAAGCATGCTTCTAAGTCAACTCTGGGCAGGCTGAAGGGGAGTCCCCAAGTTAGAGCTGTGTCTTACAGAAGTCCCGCTGCCTGCAGCGATGTCCTGCGCTAGTTACCCCACTGGGTGCACATAGGGGCTGGGAGCAGTTCAGGGGAAATGTGGCTTACATTCACACCATCAAAGAGCCAGAGGGCGGGGGCTGGCCTTGGGTCAGGGACCTGCAGCAGGAGACCTGTGCAGTGTCTCCACAGCTACCAGCGGTTTCAGCTAAGTGATTTCCCAGACATAAAATGCATCCATATGAAAAAAGTGCGCGCTGTTTGTTCAAATGACACAGTCATCAAGGCGTGGTGGTACCGGGCAGCCGAGCTTCTCAATCCTACTTCTTACACTCGGAGACATCATGCTCTTCTTTGAAGAGTGCATGCGAGTTTTAATCATGGTTAGAGTGGGATAGCAAGGTTTTAGGTTTTGATAAGAAATATGTTCAACTATTTTGATTTCGTTAAGAAGTGTGGCCAGAGTGCTCCTTAGAGGCAAGGATGGTGAGACTTCCTCTTGCCTCCTTTGGAGATGTTGTCAGGAGAGACCAGTCCTTGGAGAAGGGCCTCCTGCTTGGTAGAGGGGCAGTGACAAAGAGGAAGGCCCTGCAGGAGATGGACTGATATTGTGGTTGCAACACCGAGCTCAAGCGCAGGGGCAACGATGTGATGGTACCGGGCCGGGCAGTGTGTGACACTGCTGGGGGTCGCTATGGGTCGGAACCACCTCGATGGCATCTTAACAGGAACAAGCCACGCCTTGATAACTGAGTGAAAACAAAAATCAGGCCATTTACGAAGCGGCAATGCTCTATTGGTAGACGACTGCTTCTGAGTTCCATGTGGAATATTTTCTTCCAAACACAAAAAACCTTGTCATTTCAAGAAACAAACACTCCAACCCATCCCCCCCAAGAAGAAGTCATTCACTTCTATTTCCACAGTCGGTTAGTGCCTGGCCCATTCTTGCTGCAAACACCCTCACCGCGGCTGAGCAGTCAGCCACCGCTTGAGAAATCAAATGCAGCTGAGGTTAGAGCTGGCTTTACCAGAAGAACGGTTCCTTTGAAGGGACAACTACACCGAGAAGCAGTGGCGCAGAAGAGAGCAGGTGGTCGTCAGGCTCGGAGGAAAAAGGCCAGAAAAACCCCGCAGCGTGGACTTTATTTGTGTAAGTGCAAAGACTTCTTAGAAGAGGTCAAAGCAGTTTTTAAAGGGCCCAAGTCTTTTGTGTATTTTCGCATCAAAGAGAAATGACTTTTTTTTTTTACTACCCATACGCTTTATTTTTACTTTGTACAAAATACAAAAAATGCAAACCCTCAGAGCACACACCGGTAATGACGGGTAGACTGCGCAACAGCAAACCTTGTCTAGCAAGACATTAGTGTTTGATATTTTATTTTAGTGGATATAGACATATATAAAACGACGACCACAGAAGTGAGAGGCTTTGATCTGCAAAACAACACATACTATCACGGGTTTGGAGGGGGCAAAGAAAACCCAAAACAAAACTTTTTTTAAGGCAAATAATATATTTCTTCCATAAAAACATTGAAGCTACCATAAAATGTGTTTTTTATTTCCTGCCACACTGATTAAATTTGTTCTGGGAAGCCGCACATAAAAACAAAATAAACATCCTGAACTGGACGGTCGATACTCAAGAGGGTTGTTAACCTACATCGCCATACAGTAGTTGAAAGGATCTTTGAGACATTGCGAAATTGTTCTATTCATTTCTCAGAACAGCATTCCAGCCCTCTTGGCCTGCTTTCCCCGCAAAACACATCCCAGAACAGAAATGCCAGTGTCACGGAGTCTCTGTTCCTAAGAACTGGTTTTGAAGAAGGAAGCGATGTACCCAGACAGGAAACAGAACGAGGAAAGGTGTCTTCGTAGCCAAGCCGCCTTCGCTTGGGGTGTTTTCTTCCACCTCCGCTTCAGGGTTTGTTGATCTGCCCCATGAACAAGATAGCACCTGTGGAAGTAAACAGAAACAGTGTGTAACTGAGACAGCACACTCCGCAAAGGGGCAAAAGGTTTTATATTTAAGGGCGGGGAATGTTCAAGTCACGTGGAACCTCTTACTCTCCAGCAGCATTGACTGAGAGGACTTTTTGCCACGATGGGAAGGGTCTGTATGTCTGCTCCCCAGTTTGGGAGTCGCTAGTGATACGTGAGGGTGCCTGGGTGGCACTGTGGGGCTGCTCTTGGCCCTACTGGGCTGCTAAAGGCAACACAGGTGGGTAAAATCTACCAGTCACTCTGTGGGAGAAAGAGGAGGCTCTCTGTGTCCTGCGCCCATCAACAGCTCTACTCGGTCCTAGAAGGCTGCTAAGCATCACAATCGTGAGCTTGTATTTTTAGTTTGAGGCACACCAACAGGCTCCCGACTGGCACAGTGGTTAGACCACTTGGCTGCTAACTGGAAAGTCAGCAGGTCGACCCCACCAGCCCCTCTGAGGGACAAAGATGTGGCCGTTGGCTTCCATCCAGGTTTTAGCCTTGGAAACCCCAGGGGGCAATTCTGTTCTGTCTTACGGGTTGCTGCGTGTCCGACTCAATGGCATCGGGTTATACTGTCTCATTTTTCGTGACAGGTGCCGAAGGTTTGGGGACACAATGGTTATAAAGTACAAAAGAAAAGACTGGCGGATAAAACTCAATCAGCCACTCCCACGAAGGAGCCAGGCCTAGAAGCTGCTTCCAAGATGACAGCCCACAAGCACCCTATGGGACAACTACTTGATGGCCCCACCCTCGGCGACAAAGCCTAACGTGGTTCCTGGAGTTCCTGGCATGTGGCTAGGATGATGGAAGATTCTACATTTAACAAGGTACTTGATTTCAATGAACTGCAACATAAAGTCAAACGGCTAGACCTGTGACTGGAGGCTTTTGTGCTGGGTTTGACAGCTCTGTAGCTCGCTGAATTATGAATTTGAAAGCAGCACAAGGTAAAAGAATAAGGGACTGTCCTATGATTAAAAAAACAAGTACATAAAAGCTAAAATGCATTAAGTGCCCACACTGCACCAACACGAAGTCAATGCCTCTCCTTGGGCCAGGCCATCTTGTTTAGTCCCCATCCTCGTACTAAGAAGTAGGAGTTACTGGAATCCTTTTGAAGAGGAAGCTAAGGGACAGAGCCAGATTTTAACCCAGGACTCGGAAAGTCAGGATCTGCTAAACTAACAGTTCCCTGGTCAAAACGACAGCCCAAAGCAGAAGACATATAGCTACTTGCATGGTCTCACCACGGCATTTATTAAACCCACCAGAAAGACAGTGTCCCAGACCTAAAATATCCCAAACCTAAAATCCTACAGTGTTTCCAAGATCCCACAAGTGTCTGAAAACACAGCCTCGATTCTCCTCTCTCTGCACCATGGATGGTTATCGAAAACATCTCCTGACATCTTAAACCAAACATGAATTCAGCTTTAACTCATAGAAAATATCTTTAAGCACTCAACTCTTTTAGGAATGTTCTATATGGGATCAAAGTGCTAACAGTAACTTGATAGAGAGGGCTCTTGTGTGTGTGTGTACGTGAACTTATGCTAATGAAGGAAGAATCTCTCAGAACGAATCAATGCCAGTGACTTGTACAAGGAGAATCGTTGGCTTGTGCGTATTTTGTTGTATATATTACCACCAGCACCAACCAAAGATTAGTGCTTATACATTATTCGGTGTTGCAATTGTGGGCATAGAGAAAGGAATGAAGACCAACGCTGTTGATTAGAACTCCCACTGCCACCTACTTTTCTGAATCCCAACAAGTGGCAAAAGAGGAGAATCTCTTACCTGTAGGGTTATGTCGGATGAAAAAGAGAAAAGGCCTGTCGACGATAAACCAGGGCGGCGAGGACCGTGCAATCAGAACGGCAGCTACGGGGAGAAGGAGAAGGATGTAGCACACAAGGCCTGGCTTGGCACGTGGTTTGCTCCGGGCAGCCTCAAACGCTGAGCTCTCAGGACACAACAGCCCCCAGCCCCAAGGACACTAGTTCCAGCAGGCTCAGTGGTCCCCGTTTTTAGCACCCACACAAGCTGAGCCCGTCACATGCACCACTTCATTTATTTTTCACCAGAGAACACTGTTTTATTAAAGGTGCAAACTCTTCTTGGGATTTCTATGCAGACCGAATGTCAGCTACCATGTCCGAGTGTTTCCACGTCACAAGTGCCCAGGGCGTGCTCGCCACTATCATTAGCTGGCTTTCGTTTGTTCCTTGTGCCCTGCTGATGAAGGCTCCGGTCTTTTCAGCTGACTAAAGACGTGTGTGCCTTCTACTCTGGCTATCCCAGAACCGCATCTAGGGTTCTTTTGCACCTCCTGTGGGGAACCCTCATTTGGGACCTGGTACCTTATGTTGTGGTTCAACTCATCACGTGTAACTGTCAGACCCCCTAAGCAAACTCCTTTGGGTTCCTGGGTCTCAGCTAGGCCTACTCTGCCATGCTGCCTCATGGCGACTTCTGCATTATCATCCTATGATAGTGATGGTTCCTGGGTGGTACCAATGGTTTACGTATCTAGCTACTAACTAAAAGGTGAGCAGCTCAAGGCCATCCAGAGGTGCCTCGGAAGAAAGGCCTGGCAACACATTTTTGAGGATTCAGCCATTGGCAATCCTACAGAGCACATTCTACTCTGACACACACGAGTCAGCGTGGGCTCGCTGGCAACTGGAAGAGAAAGGGATGTTTTGGTGGGTGTATGGTGTGATCAGTCCTGCATTGTTACTGTACACCTGTGAAGACAGCCCCCCAGGAAGTATCCATGATGTATGTTACAATGGAAATAGATGCAGCTATGCCAGGTTAAGCCGCTTAACCTGGGTTCTTAAGAACATACTAATACTGAGCCAGGCTGGCTTCAAGGGCACTGGCCCAGTAATCACAAGGGTCCCCCATTCAGTCTAGTACACTATTACTGGCTTCTTGAAAGTCTAACGAAATTTCTGATGAGAGACTGTATTTTCACTCTGCCCTGGGCCCTGCATATTATGTTGTCGTTTGGTGTTGTCCTCTCAGCGAGCCTATGCACAACAGAAACACTGCCCTGTCCTGCACCATCTACCCACTCACTGCTGTGTTTGAACACATGATGTAGCCAGTCCTAATAGCTACACTGGTTGGCAAAACGGCTTACTCTCGTTAGGCCAACTCTTGATGTGGCTTATATTTTGCCTAGAAAACAAGAAGGCATCTTAAATATCCACGCCCTCTTGTTCTGCGTCTTTGTTTTCAAGTAATAAAACATCGATGTTTATGCAGGAAAGATAATAAAGGGTCTGCCGCGAGTGTACATGTACCTTTTAATGATCACATAGAGTCAGCCCAGCTGCAAGTGTAGCTAAGGAGAGACGCTCCTAGATGTTAGTCAAATAGATTGCTCCCAGCTCGTGTGGATAATTAGGAGGGAGAAAAACAACTTGAGATTGTTCTATTATCTTTTCTCACGGAGGAGAAAACATCTGTGGCTGCTTTCCTGATCGAGGAAGGCTACCGGCAGTTGGCAGATGTCAGCTGATGCGTCAGTCCGTCCTGTGGACACCGGGTTTCGTGATGTTCTGCTGCAGTCCGAAGAATGGTGCTTTTGACCAAGAAGAGGTCAGACTGAGCAACCCCCTGTTCATGGGCCAAACACGTGGGGCCGAATCCAGTGCTTGCCAATAAAGTTTTATGGAAAGCCAGCTGTACCCATTTCGCTCTGTCGCTGATGGGCTGCATTCTTGCTGCGATGCTGAACTGTGACGTTATGACAGCAGCCGCATGGCGCACAGAGCAGAAACCGTGTGCTTGCTCTCCAGCGCTGGAGAGAAAATGCTTGCTAACTCCGTCCTCAGGGAGATGCTTTTAACTCAACAGACTCCATCCTAGTCTCCTGGGGACCTGTCCTGACCTGTGTCTACTCACCGCTGTGGACCCAGGGGGAACCCACAGCGCCAGTCTCAAACAGGGCTCACTACCTCTTTTCCTGGAGGGCACCAATGGCTAAGTGCTTGTCTGTGAGCTGGAAGGTTGGCAGTTTTGGAGCCTCCCAGAGGAAATTCGAAGATAGGTCTGGCGATCCGCTTCCAAAAATTCAGAGCCTTGCAGATCCGATGGGAGCAGCGGTACTCTGTACCCCTGGCATCCCCGTGAGTTAGAATGGCCACCGCAGCAGCCAATAACGATAGGAAGCATGCCGGCCTCACGAAGGAGCAGGGGTGTATGGGCTTGAGGGCCCCACCCTCCCAGGACCCCGTGCTTACTGGTCACTGCTGAAGCTTTGGTTCCATCTTCGCTGACTTCAATTTTCGCTTTTTGCAAGATGTGAGACACGTGGAGGCCTTCCGACCCTGTTTTCCAAAAAGGAAAAAGAAAAACAACGCTTGGAGCGTAACCTCAATGCCTTCCAAATCCCAACTCTTGGAAGGTAGCAGGAGTGACTTTCGATTCTGCTGTATTACCATCCCTGAAGCCCAGCCCCAAACGTTTTAGTGCCTGAATCCATACAATTCAGTTCATTAACAATGATACACACACACACACACACACACACACACACACACATTTCAACATAGGTAAATAAAAGTAAAACCACAACAATGAAAAAACTTTCAAAAAGGAAGCCCAGACACCCCAAAGAAGCATTTTTCTGGGAATGTTGGGAACGCTGGAATCCCAGCAAGGATTGGAGGTTGCATATACAGGCAAGGAAACAGAGGCCCAGAATGTTCAGAAATGTGTCCCCAAACCACACTGTCAGTCACCGGTGAAGTAGTTACTGGTTTTTCATCCCAGAACCTGCTCCGCTCCGAGGCACCTTGGAGAGAGAGAAAGCGCGAGCGTGCGGAAGAGCGCGTGTGGGAGGAAGCCGCACAGGCAGTGTAGACTGGGAGACGCGCCTGGCTCTCCTAGAGAACCAGGTCCCAAAGACAGCTGTGTGCTGGGAACCTGCTAGTCAACTCCCTTCCCTCACCTGCAAATCTTCACACCCCCCACAACACCCAAGAGATGTAGCTTCCAAGAAGATTCTCAACCGAAATCAACGTTAGCCTTTTCGGGACAGAGGTGTGGATGCCAAAGAGGCAAGGTGCTTTTCATGCCATCTGGCTTTAAATTGCCCTCGTGATGCCCGGCTCCACCACCACTGACAGGGACACCGAGCCCCTGGGTTTCTCGGTGCTTCACAGGAGAACCTGGGCAGCTGGTCCTCCCCCGTCAACACCGCATATCTAGACGACAAAGGATCACGGTAAAGGTGCGTGCTATATCAAAACAGTGCTTCTCAAGCTGTACTGGGCGGAAGAATCTCCTTAAGAGAGAGCTTCTGATTCATAGGTCTGGGTCAGACCCAAGCTGAGCATTTCAAACAAGTGCCGGATGATGACAACGCTGCTGGAGATCAGGTTTTTGAACAGGAAGATGGTTTCAGGGCATCAAGAATACCCAGAGATCTAAGATTCTGTACAAGAATCCTGATCAAAGCGGGGCTGGGGAGGCACAGAATGTTACATTCAAATAGAATCCAGACAAGCACCCGAATCAAGTCCTTCAACCGAAAGCTTTCCTGGAAGTCTGCTTTGAGTCCCAAACCATAATTCAGAGCATTGGCGAAGTTATGTCTGCCTTGGGCATTCTGCTCTCTTAAATATTTATCTACGCGGAATCAAATGGAAACGAGCCCCTCGAAAGGTTAGATGAGAAGCAGGGGCGGGGAGTGGAACAATCTGGAAAAGATACAATGTGAAGCCTATAAACAATGTCACACACGGAGAAAGGTAAAGCAGATATCCAAGGAAGAGGCCATTTTTAGGTCACAGAGACCTTGTCTGAAATGTATCCTTGACTGTGTGGGATCAAACGTGAGGAGAAAGGAGTCCTGGCATGGAAACGCCTAACAAACAATAGCATCATTTGGTGCTACAGCAACTCCAACAGCAGACAGCGGAGGGACAACTCCTTCTCAATTGTCACGTTCCTCACTCCCCGCCTCTCCACACACACAGCAAAATCAGAGACACCAGTCCTAACATTTTCTTCAAAGATTAAGAATACGTTTTAAATCAAACATACTTGTTATTTTTGCAAAATTCGCCTTTGATGGTTCAAACATATCGGTAATACCAAGAACTTTCAGCGGCTCCTTCAAATCTGTTTGGGCTTCAGCTGTGAACCTGGCAGAAGACAGAAGACAGAAGACATAGGTCTCTTCAGTGGTGGAGGGAGAATGGTCACAAAACCGATTCTTAAGAAGAAGGATCTGAACAGCCCTCTGAAATGCACCACACATTTTCATCCCCAGATTAAACGACCGTGTGAAGGGAGAACATTCCATCTCTCAAGCACTTAGTGGGCAAAAGGGACAGTCCGTCTTGAGAGCAATGGCGCCCTCTCCCCCCGAGGTACAGCAGGTGCCCCCCCAGGGCTGAGGAAGAGCCTTCATGTGAGCTGTGTGCAAGTGGAGGGTGTTACTGCTCTTCCCCACCTCCAACCAAAGAGCCCGTCCTCTTGGCGGCGTTGTCCTTCTTGGGAATGGTCAAACTCACTGCCTTTGGGTCAGTTCTGATGCCTAGTGACCCTACGGGATAATGATTACTCGCTGGGCTGTTAACCACAAGGTCATTAGTTTGAAACCACCAGCTGCCCCGCTGCAGTATGATGGGGCTTTCTACTCCAGGAAAGAGATGCTAGTCATGGACACCCACACGGGCCCTTCTACCCTGTCTTACAGGGTCGCGATGAGTTGGCATCGACTCGATGGCCCTGAGTTTGGGGTTGTTTGCTTGGTTCTGTTTGGTTTTTAGTTATCCTACAAGACAGAGTCGAACTGCTTCAAATGGTTTCTGAGACTGCACGTTTTTACAGGAGCCGGCGGCCTCCTGGTTCTCCCACAGAGTGGCTGGTGGGTTGGAACTGCCACGAGCAGCCCAATGATGCTTGAGCCATGGGGCCTCCAGGAGCAGTCTAGTTCACACTGAGATTCTGAAAGAGTTTTATGGTTAAAAGGAAGAGGTGGTCGTTACATTTAGATGAAAGGTGGTGGTGGTCTCACTACAGGTGATGGTTTAAATGCTTCCAGGTTTTAACTCTTATTTCATTGAGAAGCTGTTTCATCAGCTCTAACCTAACCCAATGGAGGAGCAACCAGCGAGGTGAGCAGATCCCCATGACTGATGGGCTGTAAAGAACCACCTGCTCTTGGCTCGCCCAGGCCTGTGATACCACCGTATATGTATATGTATTGTATATGAGTACTGCAATAAAGAACTAGTACTCAATAAACGAATGTGGAGTCCCTGGGGGTGGGGGTATAGGCAGTTAATGTGCTGCTTGAGTTTACCCAGAGCACCTTGGAAGAAGAGTGCTGGCAGAAGAGTTATGCTGAGACATTCAGAAAAGAGGACACTGTTCACGGCTTCCTTCCAAGATTTGGGTCAACTGGTCTCTAACCTATTCGAAATGCAAGCTTCGGCATAATGTGGCATGAAGTCTCCTTGAGGCCTGCTGGCAAATGGAGCCCTGATGGTGCAGCACATGACACCTTAGGCTG